ACCAGCTTTATTTTTAGTTGAAAATGTCAAGAGGTCAGAAACAATTAAAGCAATTGTAAGGTGGGAGTACCCAGGGTTTGTGTTCTCTTGGATTTGCACCTTACTAAAATTGCTTTTATTGCAGCTTAGCAACTTAGCAACATTCTTCTGATAAGATAACGGGAATGACTGGGTAGGCACATTTACTGGAAAGAGAAGATTAGAGACAAACAGAAATGGAGCACACTTTTCATTTTAATAGCAAGGGTTGAAAAACTGAGAGGATCTCCTTATTCCTTCCAGGATTTGAAATTTAGTGATTGTATTTTAAAGAAATGTCTGACCTGCTTAGAACTTTCTCATCAACTCAAAATTCAGTGTTTGGAATATCAGCTGCAAGCTATTTCATATTCTAAGTTTCACTTTGCAAGTTTATTGTGATTAGAGAAAAGTTTTAGGTGCAAAGAGAAGCCACCTGAATTGCAGCTCAGCACCAGGACAGCTTTGAGAGCAGACACTGTGGGTGTCAGGAGGCACTGTCCTGAGCAAGCCAAGTGCTAATAAGGCTGGAGGCAAATCCAGGGAAGAATGTTCTTTTTACTGCTCCTGCTGTCAGGGTGCTGAGATTTACTGGCTCTGTAGAACGACACAGCATGAACTCACTGTTGCAGCACCTTGCTCAGACTGTCCTTGGTGCACCCAGTGCAGCAGAGGCACCCGAGGGGCCACCACACACCAGGGCTCACCACCAAGCTCTTGTGATCCCAGCAAGGTGCCAGGGGCCCAAGGGGAGCTGGAGCCTGCAGAGCCCCGTGCCCAGGTGCTGCTGGTGACTGACAGACCATTCCCTGCTGGTGCTCACAGCCCATTCTGTGCTGGTGCTCACAGCCCATTCCCTGCTGGTGCTCACAGCCCATTCCCTGCTGGTGCTCACAGCCCATTCCCTGCTGGTCTCACAGCCCATTCCTGCTGGCAGTGTGGTGCTCAGCCTGGCTGCTGCCCTGGCTGCTCCCCGGTAACCGTGTGCTCCCGTGCAGGTGCGCATCGAGGACGACATCGCGGTGACAGCCACGGGCATGGAGCTGCTCACGTGTGTCCCACGGACCGTGCAGGAAATAGAGGCTTTCATGGCAGAAGGCCAGAGCGGTGCCAAATCATTTGACTGCCTCTCCAGCCAAAGGCAGTAACCTCCAGGATGATACTGCCTCACCTAATCAGCCATCGTTCTGACTTAATGCTGCGGAATATAAAATAAAATGCATCTAATTCTTAATAGCAAGAGAGGCAGGCAGGCTGTTAGCTGGAATAATTCATGTATTAAAAACGAAGATAGAGGGCCCAGGTAACTCGACTGCTGCTTGCAATCAGCAGTTTACGTGACCAAGTGGCAGCTAAACAGCCCTGCTGCCTTATCACTGGGGCTTGTACTTCTGTCAGATCTCAGCTCAGATGTATCTTGCAATTAAATCTGAATTTTGATGATTGGGACTCTGAAATACCAAATGGAATATCTGAAAGCTATCAGCAATTGTAACACTCTGAAGTTCTTTTTTAAACATTATCACAAGTGCTGTAGAAAACAGAAATAAAAATCAGTTGTTCTCGGTGGACATAATGACACATATTTTTCTTATGGATCTGTATCCACGCAGTAAGAATCAAATTTTTATTAAAATTCACCTTGGCATAATTTATGTTGGCAACTTTGTGGTCATTATGCTTTTCTGCTCCAGTTCCTGCTTCTTTATCTGACCCTACTACCAATTTGTGCTCTGCAGAGTTTGACCCTAGTCTAGCCAGAGTTTTCTGCTCTGGAGAGTGGCTGTACTGATCCTTCACACCCATGCCCATTAGATTTGTTCATCTATTTTTTCCTTAAAAACATAGATTTCTATGGTGTTTGTGACCCTTAAAAGTTGAAAGAAGGGAATATCTTTGCTGCAGGGCTCATGGTCATTCAGCAGCATATGCTGTACAGCACGATAGAGTTGTTTTTAAAAGTTCAGTGTTAAGACTGTTCAGAATGAAATCATGTGAATTTTATTTGGGTACCTTACAAACATATTAATATTGGTCACAAACTGATTTTTCACTCTTGCAAGATTTAAATTACCAAGAAAAGCTTTTCTTTACTGTAAGTATTCATCAGCTTGCAGGATAATAAATACTATGCATCATAATCATCCTTGCATCATAGAATAGCACTGGGTGCTGGTAACTAGATAAAAATAGTCTTTCTCACTCTACATACACATCAGAACTGTTCAATATTCAGATTCTGCTGCAAATTTGACTTTTTGCAGTTTGACTGCAAAGCCACTTCAGATCATCCCTGTGCTGTGCTGGGGGGAGCTGAGGCCACTTGGGTGAGCAGAGCCTGGGTGCCACTGCCTGCCAGGTGAGGATTTCCTGAAGGGATTGGCTGGGCTGGGACCTCAGCACCTCGGTGAGAGCAGCTCAGTTCTGCTGCTCACATCGGGCCACGGTGGGGGACAGGACCCACTGAGAGCCCTGTGGGGGCACAGCACAACACGGGCTGGGATGGGGACAGAAACCACTGCTGCCTCTCTGCCTCCCCAGGACTGCATTTAGGCCTGAAATAATTTCCTTAAAAAGCATCATATACATTGCTCTCAGAAAACTCTTTTTGCTCAGTGGGTTGGTTTGTGTGACAAGAACCTGCTCTTCATTCCAACAGCCTGGTGATCCACTGCTGTGTAGGAAACTTCATGTGAGAGACCAAAGAAACATTGTGAAACCATCCAGAGGATTTCATTCACATCACTCAATCAATAAATAACCCTATTTGCATTTTTTGGGGTGTTTCTTGACATTGGTTTAAAACGGGCAAGCGTAGAAATTCTTGACTTTGAAGGGAAACAGTTTTTTTCAGGAAGGGAGGTGTGAGATTCATCAGCTGTGTGCTGTTCCTGTTTGTTTTTCTCAGCAGTCTGAGTTGCTGTTTTATTTTGGATGGGCTATCATTAAAATGTGCTGCTGCACTGAAGTTCCTGCTGTGGTGTCTGGAATCTTCCACCTCTGAAACTTAGTCAGTACCTGCACAAGGACATCAGGCTTTGCTTTGGTGGCCTTGCAGGTATGAACACCGAGACTATCCTGGCACTGCTCTGAACTCATCTGCCCCCAAAACTCAGGGTTTTTTCAGTGCAAAGCAGTGCTCGTGGCCTCAGCCTGCTCCCTCCAGAGCCGAGTGTTTTCCCGTGGCAGGCTCAGAACCCACCCAGGGGATGGTTCAGTGCTCTGGGCACTCCAAAAGCTGCTCTTGCTGGGGTTCTGCAGCAGCAGCTGTTTTATAGCAACACTGAGCAGATTTGGAGAGGAGAGCTTTGGAACTGTTTGCAGTTCTTGGGCTGGCTGTGCAGGATCCAGCAGATGTTCTGTGCTGCTGCAGAGCAGGTCGGGCGGCGCAGGAGGCAGAACCGGTTCTGTTTGGGGCGCGGCCGCGCGCGGAGCCCGGGGAGCTCCTGCTCCGCCAGCCCGGCTGGGGATGCTCCTCGCTCTCCCCTTTTCCTTCAGCAGGCCCACCAACTTGGTGAATGTACAGAACATCCTTCGTTCCAGAAGTTTGTCCTGTAATTATGATCATTTTTATCCACTTAAGCAAAAAGTGAATTAGACCTTTTCTCCTAAATTGGGGAGGAGAGAGGGAATAAACCTTTTTTAAAAAGGCAGAGTGATATTTAATACATTAAAAAGTGGTGTTTAATAATTTAAAGTGTATTAATGGGGTGAAAGTACAGGTTATGGCAAATTTTCTTTTTGACTAAGATATTTTATACTCTTCCCATCATGTTTTCCCAAATGCCTTTTTCCCTTGGCACAAAGAAAGAGTTGGCACCGAAATAACAGAATGTATCTTATGCTGAGCAAATTTGTACCTTTAGAAACGTCTGAGCACTTCAGAAATGATACATGTAAATTGTTTCAGCAAATTGCTTCAGCTCCCTGGGGTTGGGTGCGCTCTGGATTTACCTGCCCATGACCTGCTGCAGCCACAGAGCAGTTCCAGGAGCGCTCCTGGGGGCTCCAGCAGAGCCCTTCCCCTAACAGGACAGCCAGAAAATGGGAACCAGCTTTCCTGGTCAAATGTGGGGTGCTGTAACTCTGACAGGCACTGGATTCTGTCACAGACTGGAGTTAAGAGTAATGTGTCAAAAGGAAAATTTTCTAGGTCTGCACTGAAATTTTCTGTGCCTTGCAGTAGAGGGGTGAGATGGAGGCACTTTGCTGCCTCACAGCCGGGGCTGCTTCACCCTGGGGGAAACTGCCTTTGGTCCTTGCAGCTACTTTGGCAGGTGGGGGCTTAGAATGAGTGACCCCGTTGTTGTAACCAGCTTCTCACTGAGGGAACCTTTAAAACATTGATTTGTTGTAATCGTGGCAGTGAGGTGCTTCAGAGGCCATTGCTCCTCCCAGGCCTTGTCCTGGTGCCAGCCAAGGACAAGGATCATTGTCCTGGTGCCAGTCGAGGACAGGGATTCTTGTTCCAGTGTCAGCCAAGGCCAGGGATCCTTGTCCTGGTGTCACAAAGGTCAAGGATCCTTGTCCTGGTGTCGCCAAGGCCAGGGATTGCTGTCCCTGTGCCAGGCGAGGCTGTGGCTGGAGCTGTGTGGGCATGGCAGTGGGGAGAAGACAGAGGTGCTGTGCCACCACTTCTGTCCCTTCTGGTCCTGTCCTGGGGCAGGATGAATGGAGCCATTTCTGTCCCTTCTGGTCCTGTTCCACGCTGTTGTCATTGCTGTTGCTGCTGTCACTGTTTGTTCTGCTCCTCTCCCCTCCCCTATAACTTCAGTATATTTTCAGTCTTAGGTTGTTTTTTTTTTCCTTTTTGTTAAATCAGACATTTAGACAAAACTGTAATGAGTTTCTGATTGGTTCCATGCAGCAGAAACCTGAGTGGAAGAGGGGAACAGAGACTATTGCACTGATTTCTCCAAGAGAGCTGTGTGAGTTGGGCAACTCTGCACTTGAGGGAAATAGAAAAGGGACAGGAAAAATGAGACCACTACAAGCAAAACATTTTTATTAACTTCTGGTATTTCAACCCTACCAACTTAAGATGCAGTTAGAATGAAAAAACATATCTGTAAAAAGTCTACCATAATCCAAAACAATCCATTAAAGTTTTCCACGTGTATTAAAACTTTAAATTCAATAAAGAACTTTTCAAGGTTCCATTCTCCAACAATATCTTCATAGAGATAACATCCAAGTCCTTTCCTAAGTACAGATACAAAGCAAACAAGCATCCTCCAAAATAATCTATGGACAAAGGTAGTGTAAGAGGGAAATTAAGACAGTGTAGTAATCTACAAGACAGACACACAGGTTAAATGTAAAATAACCATACCATCAATGAAATCCTTAAAAATGAAAATAAATTAAAGTTATATCAAAGTTCCTGCTTTACTTTGTTTAAACCCTCAGTATAGCACATAGCACTGCATTATGGATCATGGCAAAGACTAAGCAGTAGCAATAAAAAAAGTTGCTACAGAAAAACTTCTATGGAAATAAAACAAGACTAAAGCTACTCCTTCACACAGCTGTATGATGGCTGTAGAAATTCCACTGAATCAGTTTTTCAGACTAGGGCCATTTATTTTTAAAATCACCAAAGAATTTCTGGAAGATAAATGTCAGGCAGCAGTGACCCATACATCCCAGCTGAACACCTGCTGTCCTGCCCCTCTCCCTGCTAAGCCAAGCTGCACTTTTTGTTCTCCCCAATTCCTCCTTCCCAACAAGAAGGCAATTTTGTGGGGCACGGTTTTTTTGGTGGCATTTGGAAGTTTTCTGAAAACAAACTCTTGTTCTCATAAGGCCCCAGTCACTATGTGAGCAATATGAACACAAATAAGAGGCTTTGTCAGTGTGGTGCTTTGCCTCTTGTACATGATGTTTCTGTGCCATTTGCAGGCCAACTGCCTGTATCTATCACTGGAGTATATTGTTATTTTTCTGGTGAACACTGCTAAACATCCCAGCTCACTATTACTGCAACCTCCCTGTTAACTGAGCAGGAGGGACCTATGAGGTGCTTCATAGAGGATTTGTTCTACAGATTTAAAGTAAAAAGCAGAAATTTTCCACAGCCTTTGCAGTTTGTAATATGTAATGGAGAAAACAAAGGGCTAAAATACATTAACGGGTATTTAATTGCTTCTATCCAATTACAAGTTTCTGATACTGCAGTGAGCCATCCTGCTGGATTCCTCCCATTATGTGAAGTCTAAAATGGTAAGTGAATATTCCTGTGAAAGTGTTATCTCCTAAATATTACATTCCTTGTTGACTAGGAGTTCAGATCTGCATAAATCTTTGAGAAGAAAAATATTTAAAACAAATATCTAACCAGTTTCTGGTTTAATTGTTACAAATCTTCAATGTTAAATCTAAAAGAAGAAAAATCTCCACAAAACAATGACTAAAGGTACAGTTTTTGCTTGGTTACTGCATGGGCACTGCAGACAAGCTGCCCCTCAACAGTTTGTTTCAGAAGGTCGCAGGTGCCTACTGTCCGCTGCTTTCTGGATTTGTTGTGCTGGTCTCAGTGCCAACAGGCTGCACATTATCTGCAAAATTGTGGGCATGCTCAAGGAACAAGTCTTTCAGTACACTCAGCTCCTTGGTCAGGAGTTTAATTTTTGCCTCTAAACGTTCATTTTCTTCTTTAAGCTGGTTGACCCTTTGCAGGGTGTCTTGTGCTTTTTGCTTGCTTTTTAACCGGCTCTTTTTCACAGCCATGTTGTTTCTCTCTCTGCGCTGCCGATACTCATCGCTGTTTCTATCCACAAAGGAATTCTTCTTTCCCTGTTTGCTCGGAGGCACAGCTTTGCCTCCACCACCAGGACTGACTGGCACCAGCTGGGGAACCTGCTGCAAACCACTGGAGTGTGCTTGGGTGTGAATCACACTGACTCCGCTCGCATCTGTGGTGGTGTTCTGTTGGGATGTCTTGCTCATTTGGACAGGCTGTTCTGGGACACAGCAGAATTTATTAGGAGACTGAAAACTCTTGGGTTTCTAGAAGGTGTTTCCAACAGATCTTCACATGGATTAAGAGCAAGGTGAACCTAGTAGGGGGGGAAAAAAGCGCTATTAAAGATGCTGACTTCAGCTACAATCTTATACATCACTGGCTTTAGCATAAAGTATTGATGGTACATCTGGCAGTAACACATCACAACTGTGCTGGAAGTGGACAAGCTGCCAACTGCATTTCTGAAGCCCCAAACATATTTGAATTGGATGGAACTATTACTGGGTCATCTAGTCAAGCTGTTTGAATTGTTCACTGGCTTCACTCAGTTATTCCAAAGCCATCCCTGATGGATGGCTGTCTAGCCTAGCCTCAAATATCTCCAGTTTCACAACCTCTGTCTTGGCAACGTGTTCCACTGTCTAACTTTTCCTCCAGTTATACAATTTTCTTAGTTTTCAGACTGGAGTTTGCCTTCTGTGGCTTAAACCTATTAACAGCCTGACTCTTGACCAACAGGGATATTTGATCCTTGTCCTCTTCGGACCACATCTCTGGGTGTATCCACAGACAAATTTCTCCCTGATCTCTTTTCTATGGAGCAAAGGTGCTCAGCCTGCCCACCTTTTCTCAACCATCTCACAGCACTTGTTTTAAAGATGATGCTCAAATTGATGGCTGTCTCAAGGCCTGCTAGCACTGAGTGGAAAAATAAAGCTATGGAAAAAGGTAGCACATTGCAAAGGCTGTTTCTGGGTGCCATTCCTACCACAAGCAGCGTGCTGAGCCTCTAACAGTATGGATCAAGCAGGTGGGACAGCAACACAGGGAGCAGTGTAAATCACCACACAGAGGACTGTCACCTATCAAAAGACAGCAACCACAGCTGACTCATCCATAAATGAGGCCGCCTGCCGTAGTCTGTGCGCTGGTCACTGCCCACTCTCCACAGACAAACCATCCTGATGAGCAAGACATCCTCTCACCTGACTCACGTCCTCCCGCTGCTGAGGTCAGCCTGCTCCTGGCCCTACTGGTGGCACAAGGAGGATTCCACCACAGCTGCAGGGCCATGGCCCTGGCAAGGCTAACAGCTGGTCCCCTTCTCTTCTCATCTCACAGGATGACTTCCTAAATGGCTGGGAGAGAAGAGGGGAAGGGCAACAGGATGGTCCTAAGCTCCTGAAACACCTACCTATGGCTCCAATGAAAAAACACTCTGGGCAGTCAAATCAACATGGATTTGTCATGTTGAAGAGAAGCATTTAACCCGCACCAAACAATCCTACTCAAGGTCAGACTGTCAAGCTGCAGCCCAGCACTGTCACACACAGAAGCAGTGTGAGGCATCCTCCAGAGGGCTGGGGAAAAGCAAACAGCTGCAGCAGCACTGGGCAGTGTCCAGCCCAGGAATGAGCCTCACATCCAATAACAGCAGATGGATGGCTTCACTGCCTGCCTGATGAATGCAGGGATGTGAGAGAGGTTTGTAAGCAAGCTCATGGCTGTCATTCTAAACTCACAGGTCCATCAGCTGTGTATTGCTCCTGTTTTCCTCAGCAGTCTGAGCTGCTGTTTTACTTCTGGAGGGGCTATCATTAAAATGTTAAAATTCAACTGTCTAGATCAAATGCATACTTCCTTCCATGATGGAGGAGCCAGAATGCGATGCAGCTACAGAGTGTGGTTCAATAACATTCATGGAAAAGCCCACTAAATTTGGCTTCAATGTTACTCCAAATTAACTCTCTAACACCAAGAGGTCTTCCCACTTGTGAAAATGTATGAGTATACCCACACCCTTCCTATCAAGAAATCTTTTCATTTTCCTATTCCAGGGCAGAATGAGACCATCAGCACTTTCTGACATCTGTGGAGCTGGATCTGGATACAGTATCTGACACCTTTGTGTTACTATTTTCCCAATTTCAACACTTACAGCGACTTCTGCAAACCGTGTTTCACTCAGATTGTGACCTAACAAGCAGTTTGGTTGGGCAGTTAAACTGAACATCCAGCTAACAGGGATGTGCACCACCACCACCACCAGACTGGCAGGGCTAGCTGTAGTAGCTGTGCATGTGTAATGGCACAGACATTTTTAGTCAAAGTCTAAGTGTATGCTCCTCTTACAGCATACACTGGCCTTGTCTGCACTTTATTTTAAAATACAGGCTTTCTGCAGCCCTGTAAGCATATGCAATTCTCTTAGGTTGTCTGTGACAAGTAGATTTTTGACACCTTTTCCAAATCAGAGAGAATGCTCTGCTGTCCCCTCTGATTTGACACATTTCAGTGCTTGCAAAGCTCACCTGGACAGGCCAGTTAAGTAACCCATTCCATTTTCACAATCTGATTTTTGTGCTCCATAAGTTTCTACAGAGGAGGGGGTGGCTCCTGCCCCCAAAGGAACTGACATGTAACAAGTTTCTTCACATCCCTCATTTCCATGTGCTACTCTTCTCTATGCTAGCAAAACTATTTAAAACTGCTTGAACACTTCTATCTCTATCGGATTTCCCTATGATTCAATGAAAAATTATTTGTTCCATTAAACCTAATATTAATGAAGTATTTTAACTGGGCAGTACATGGATATAAGCAGAGAAGATAACCAATGTCACACCTCTCAAGCAAGAATTCTAGCCCTGCCTGCTAGAACTGACCTCCCTCAGCTCCTTCCCACTGGAATTCATTTGTTTATTATTAAATTGCTATTTCTTGAGTGAAAAGTGCTCTTATCTGATGATCAGAACCCTTAACTGGGACAGGTGACACCTGGATGCTGCTCTCCAGATTTCATATGTATTCATATATATTTCAATATTTGCATATTCTGCACCAAAGAATATGCAAAGCAAGGAGCACTAACTGTACTGCATCACAGAGTTACACGAGTGCCAACAACTGGGGCTTGAAACTCATTTTTGCACCTGATTTGGAGGCTGGATGCCTATTACCAAATGTCAGAAGGCTACCCCAGACAGCAAGAGGGGCATCCTTCAGCAGATACTGCAAGGAGATTTAAAGGCAGGAGGTACAAGAAATACAGAGGGGACTCTCAAGAAGGGTGATGTCCCATGGTAGCTGGGAGAGGCCATGACGTGGGGAGGCAGATGGGGCTCCAGTTCCTCAGAGCCTGTGCAGCACAAATGCAGCTGCTCCACACCTCTGCACACAGGTTGCCTTCCTGGCACGGGGTGACAGCCCCAGCACAGCAGGAGACAACTCCTCAGAGAGCCAGCCCAGCTTCCCAGCATCTTGTTCCCATAAAGCTGCTCAAGAGCTTCAGCTCAGCAACAGCCCTAGGCTGGTTCCACCCAACACATGGTACTGTTTCCAGTGGCCAGTCAGAACTGCCTGCTTCTCTCCTTGGGCCACCGACTGGCCACCCAGGAAACCAGATGGCCACCCACTACAGCATAATAGCTGCTAGCTCAAGAGGTGTCTTCTCAGGCAGAAAGATGTTTCTTACTGTCTCACAGTACTCCTCAGGGACCAATGAAGCAATGAAGGCCTTCATTTGCTTTCACACATACAAAAAATAAAAATAAAGACGTTAAACTTCCAAATGTTTGCTTTGACAAAAAAAAAAAAAAAAAAAAAAAAAAAAAAAAAAAGAAAAAAAAAAGAAAAAGTGTTTTGTCAATTAAATCAGTTTTGCTTTTTTTTTAACTTGGTTTCTCTCTGCTCCTATCTTGATATGTGACTGTGCTGATTCTATTCTTTAGTCAGAATGAATTTATTGCACAAATTCACAAAGCTCCCTTGTCAAATGCAAAATTGGTCCCAAACTGAACAGCAATAGGTGCCTTCTCTTCTCTTAGACTTCACTAGGACTCAACAGGAATCGACTCTAGGTTCCAGTGACCCTGTACTAAGGACAGTGGCCCAGGACTCAGGCCCTGGAGCTTTGCTGATCACTGAGGGATGACTCCTGCACGGTTCACTCAGGCTTGCAGGAGCTGATGCTAACTCTCACCTACTGCAGGCTGCCCAACAGCGCTGTGGAGACCGGGTAGCTCCATCCCATCATTTCTTGCCATAGTGATGTCGTTCACTTTCCCACGTTTATTTCAGAATCTCCATTTTTAATACACATTTTAAAAGAAAAACGCACTCTGACATCCTTAGCAGACTGTATCGGAACACATAAAGCATGTATTTTGACACGACAGAATCCCAAACATTGGGAGGCAAGGAGGTATCAAAAGACTCTGTCTTTGGAATTAGAACGACAGCTGTGATTTCTAACGATAAACTAATTCCTTAAAGCCGAAAGTTTTGCAGATTATCAGCGCTTATGCTTTCCGGAGAGGCTGTGCATGGCGGAGCTGCGGCCGCTCTTCCTGCCGGACGTCAGCGCCAAGGCCGACGCGGAGCTCCCTGCCTGCCAAGGCTCCGCTTTGGAGCTCGGGCAGCAGCTCTGGGAAGGCGTGAGGAGCCCGGAGCATCTGTGCAGCGGCGCGCCGGGGCCCGGGCGGATCCGCGGCCTCCCCCGGCCCGCGCTCCCCGCCCGGCCCCGCCGCCGCC